GGAATCGTAGTATTATGATGCACGCAATATTGCAGTAAATCGTTTGTTCAAAATCATAGTTGCATAATACACGTACCTATTTCGCAAAATTTGTATTTTAAAGAATAGCCATTGCATTACGTATAAGCTTAGACTCCCCTGGAAAATATTCGCAGCCGAGTCGGTTATAACTTTTAAAGTTATCAATTATAATTCGTAACCCGATAATTATAATATGATGTGCATGGTACATCACATTGTGATATGATGTAGTTGTTGGAAAAAGTACTCATTATAGTTAAGTTTTTTCGACACCCTTAAAACAATATCAATCCAGCGCTTTTGACATTTGCATAATCTTACCTCTCGTCGCCCTATTACAGAACATACGATAGCGCATCAGTGTTAGCTCAAGTCTCAATAATATCATACGAATTCTCATAACGCGATTATTTTTATATTTAGTGTTTTGTTTGTACAAAACCAGTGCGGTTTTGGATAGATATTCCAACCCTAAGTTGAAGGACTTTTCACACGTATACACTAGCCTGAAATGGGCTGTAATACGCTAGGCGTTTCCAAACGGGCGCACACGAAAAGGAAATCTTGGAAATGCTGCTAAATGATAACGATTTATAAATATAAAAAACATAATAAAAAGTAAAATATAAGAACAATTATGTGGGAATAATAGCATCGTGGGGGGGCCATTATAGTGTGCTAAGAAGAACACGTGCATACGAAAGCACACGGTAAAGAGGAAAAACGTATAGGTTATTGATGAGAAGTTTATTTCAAAGCGTTTTAATATTATGGTGTAGGTAAGTAGGTTGGTATCAATTTAAAAGGAATAATAGCAATATTATTGACAATTTCGTTGTTTAAATTGCTATTCGTCTCCTGTTGTTGTACTGATTTAGACTTTCACATGGAATATAACGGCCAACACCAACACATCATTCGACAAATAAACGCACGGATTATATCATGACGTCTACTCTTCAATCGTTCCAAGGTAACTAGTTATACAATGGTGTTTCAGAAACGAGCACAAGTACAATAACAATATAAAAGCCAATTATCGAATATCAGTCTTTAATTATTGAGTAGGCAAACCGACGGAAAACGCAACATTTTCTAATGTTATGCAACGATGTTAAAATAAAAATCGAATAACAGAGCATCGAGGAGCATAGACCACCACCACCTACGGGTAGTCGAAAGTAACAGTAATAACTATAATAATAACAAGAATATTAAGACAATATTATTGCCTCTAAAATATTAAAATTGTCGACCGATGAATTAATACGAACAAGCAGCAAGATAAAGAATCAGTGGAAAAATTATAAAAGAAATCAGCCTAAACGTGTATAATTATAAGGCATAAAATACGCAAGGCACAAAGTGTCACGGGGGTGGGGCATTGGGGTGGCGTCGCCGGGGCGCAACTTGTTGCCGTAACTTTGGCGCGATACGGACTTATCCCGCAACGACGCCCGACGACAAAAACCGAAAATCCTCAAGACGAGTAAAAACACGTTACTCTCATTCCGGTACCAGCAGATATTCGTGTCTACGCGTCTCCGTCAAACCATTCGCTCGCGAGCGCGACCGGCGGCGCGTGGGCGCGCACAGCGTACGTCGCGCGGCCGCCGCTGACGGCCACTTGCGAGCGTTGCGCGCGTCAACGCGTTCCCACACCGCTCGCGGTGCAGTGGTGTGTGCGTGCGAAGTAGTCGTCGTGTGCCGTCGGTTATATTACGAACCGATTATTACACCACCGCTGCCAGTGCTGCGGTTGCGGGCGAAGTAACGGCGGCGGTTACGGTTGGCCGTCCGCGGTGGGAGGGGGCACATGTCAATCACGAGCAACGGGATCGCTCGCACGCAATGCATTTCGCCCGTTCGCCGCTGCCGTTAACCGGTTACCTCTCGCGATCGTCGCGCACAATTATATTATACAAAATACGTTTCGCGCGGCGCCCGGCCTTGGACTTTTGACTTTGCCACTTTTTTTCTCGTATCGAAAATTTCTATTCTCCTCTACTTGCGCCGACGCATCGGTTTTGTTTTTAGTACCACATTGGGAGATCGAATAATTTATTCTACTTTGGTTGTATAATATAATATTAATATGTACACCAGGGGGTGTACGTTTCCCAGAAACAAAAAAAATCTTCGATAAAAATGTGTTCGACGAACATTCACGGTGACAAAAATATGACTACAGCCGATAGAAAAATTACCTGTTATTAAATAAGTATAGATTGTTATTAAATATGCGTTGGCGCAAATGTGTTTACGAGCCACCTGCAAGGATGATATTATTATTGCGTGTTTCCGACGATAACAATGGACTGGCGGCGCGACGGTCTTATCGCTAAATAATAATATTGGAATCGAAGGACTGCCGTTAATAAAAACGACGTCGCTGCGCACGTAACCTACAAATGTTGAGATTTATCAATGTAAACGAACGTAAATTTGTGTTAGTCGTTTGCAGTCTTACCGTATTATAATAATATATATAATGTTATTATAACATTATCAATTTCGTACAATATTATGTAAAACATACATTGTAATACATTGTTTTGTCATTGTACGCGGCTACATAGACCGAATAAGAATCCAAAAGAGAAAGGGATCGACGTTTGTGCCGTTTGTTGGGTTTATGGTGTTTCGCGATTAGGAAATGATTTATTAATAAAGTACGAAATTTCCGAACAGTACGCCATCTGGATGTTAACGTCCGAGTCACAAGTGTATCGCCGACGCCCGCCCTCTTTCTCTCACATAGCGTAAACAACAACAGCAAATTCACGAACACATTCACGCCGGGGTTTTTCAACGTTTGTAATGTTTATTTATTACCATTATTATTTTCTCGAAGCTGAACACTTTTCATACATTTAACAAAAAAACCATTGTTAATGTTCTACTATTAGCCGTTCAAGGGCAAAATCTAAAACAGATAAGCTGAATTTCACGTAGCAATACGTATTATTAATTATTATAGTGTACGTAATAATAGTCACCACTGCTATTCCGTACCGTTAACCAATCACAAACAATTATTGTATTCGGATATAAATATATAATATATAATATATACAAGTCATACCTATCTCGGTGTTCATTTCTTGTTTAAATTTTTTTTTGTCACATGTTGTTATCTAAAAAAAAATATTCAAATTGCGCAAACAGTGCGCGACGACGACATCGAGAATTATAATTATTTTGTTTGCAGATAAGCTATTGTGAAAAATGTACTGACGAGCAATTTAATATCAAATACACACATATATATATATATATTGTATGTTATTTTAAAAAAGAGATTGTTAAGCGCTAGATGATAAAAATAAAATACAAATTTCCATTCGAACGAATATTACACACGATGCAGCAACGCGCGCATGTCCATTTGTTTTACTCTAAAGATTGTGATTTCGTCCGAGCTCATAGTTTCCTTTCACCGATAAGTAACTGTACGGGGCTCAGTTACGGGAGCATTGTTATCCTAACTGGGCCATCTCCACGTGAAATACTTTACTGCATTACTTCTAGTTTTTCTTTTTTCCATATAATTTGTTTAAAGTTTACTACAGGACACTAAACGATCGTTCAATGACATAAATATTGGTAACCAATGTTTAATGCAGTACATTAAGATGTAAATGAAAATGATCTAGGTACATTTAAAAAAACCTAAGGAGTTTACTTTTCCAATAAATATTGAATTTTACATCGGTTGTGATTTGAATATTAAATCAAATTAATCACGAAGAAACTAAGAATGTCGTAGAAACTATATTTGCAAAATCAAATTTTCGCAATTTAAAATTAGGAATTCAGGAAACTGGCCATGAAATTATACAGTTAATCGATGATTTCATAATAAGCAAATTAAAATAGTTTCTTTCTGACGAAAAAAAATGTTAGTGCTTCAACAAATACTTCATACGTTTTGTTCTACTCATTAAAATCACTAAATATACAATTTTTTTCTTCACTTAACACTGTATGTACCTATTAATGTATTAAACCAGAAAAAACTCTAAAAAAAAAGCCAACAATAAACTTTAAATTTACACTCATACTCGAATCAATTTTTTCATAAAAATAGATACAGAACAAAGATAAAATGCAATACTTGAGAGAATACAACTAATCTGATTGAATTTGCTTAAAAAAAGCATACATCAATATAGTCGATGAACACTATCATATCATTTTTGTAAATTACAAATTTCAATGGTCACATTTTTCCTTTCCTAGTTCTTCTCATTAACAATAAATAATTCAATTTTATTTTTTTGCCAGGGTACTAGGGTAAATGACCTCAAAAAACCAATTTAACTAATTAAAAAAACCAATGAATACTAGTTTTCACTCAAAGATAAATTTTCTCTTTACTCTGGCAAATATTACAGGTATAAATCTAAATTTTAATTTCAATGGTACTAAAAATCCTTACGGTTCTCTTGTTATTTATTATATTTGCATATGATTATCATCGATCAATAATTATTATTATGAATTGATACTACTGTGTAATTTAGGTTTAAATTAAATTGTACATATTTGATTTTAATACCGTATGCTGAAAAATATAGAAATGCTATTTTGCTAGATAAGAATTTTATCTGTACTTTTAGCACAACATCAATCATCAAGTCCCCAGAATATACCATAATCAGCAATTATCAACCTTGAAATGTTTGATTATGAAACCTTTATAAACATTTCTGTGTCCAGAAATTAATTATTATTTAAGAAGTAGGTAGCTACAATTATTCAAAAATGTTGATAAAATAAACTAATAGGGAGGCTAAACCAAAATTAAGTATGTACCTCTGTACCTAGATAAGTACTGTGCTAAGCAAGTGTATATAAAATTAACATAACATTTTTAAAAATGATAGTTAAATAAATATTTAAGAAATAAAATAATGAAATTCACCTATACCTAACTAAAAATAAGTAGGTATTTAAGGAAATGTGTATAAACTTACCGGCATAGTATTGCCATTTTCCATGGGTTTTTTGTCATTCTTTTTAACGTTCCTTTTGGTCTTTGTTTCCATGTACTTTTGTTTGAGCATTAATGTTTCTTGTACATTTTGCTGTTCTGCGAATGCGTTGCTATAGCGTGGAACGCAGTCTTGGTTATGCCTCCTGTACCCTTCCATTCGTCTTTTTAGTCTGTCAATAACCGCTTGTCGCTTATGGACAACGACATCGGCCATGCCGGGGGCGGCGGATTGTTGCTGCAACACACCACAGCCGCCCCCTAACAATGCACCTTGGTCCAATCCTTCAGGACCGCAATTCAGATGGTAGCTCGCCAGTTTAGTAGAATGAATTTGATCAGCTACTCACATTTGCACTAGAACCCACAAAACAAAAATTGTAAACAAATCAATAATTCACACTTAGAAAAGAACAATATATTATACAGACTTTATTTTATAATATCTAAAAATTATTACTTTAAAAATGTTTTAGAAAAAATTTAACTAATTTAGGTAAAAATGTTCTATGACTTAATTATTTGATACTAAGATATATTTTTAGAATTTTAACACCTAACAGTGATAAGAAACTGGTAAATAAATATTGCTGGTTGGTGGTTATCTGTAATGGTAAACAATTTGTTGAAGAAACCTAGATTACAGACTATTCAACAGGTTTCTACACTAAATATTAAACAGTAATGTAACAAACAATGTTAAATATTAGAACACATAATCAAGATCTAAAATGATGAGCAACATAAACAACAACTGATAACAAGATACCATCAACTGGTTACTGACTGTAAAGTCTATATTTTACGAAATTTGAGCAATACGATAACGTGACGTTAACTTTAATATTGGGTAGAGTGAATAGCCGAATGAAATATCAAAAATTGACCGTTAAAAGGAATCAAAATAGTGATACGCACTCGTCAACATTAAAAGTGGTCCAGCGGACGGTCGTTGATGATTGCGTCCGTGTTCACGTCAGGTCGACGTACATTGTGATAAGTCTTGAATGGATCGATGGTTGCAATGATTAATCAAAAATCAATCACCGTGTGCCAAACACTCACTCACACATACACTTATCGATACAGAGATCGAACTTAGCCGATCTAAGGTGTCTGTACAGGTTGTCGTCGGTATCGCCACCGATAAACTGTCATTATTATTGTTATATTACGATTATTACGCAAAAATCGTTACGTCCACACGGTCGGTATACGCACCAGGATCAAAAAATTCAAATAAATACAAATCACAGGACCAGTATTCGATCGAATTCGCGATGAAAATCAACAAATCGCTTGTGCGTAAAGCGGACGGCGGAGCAACATACGGTGTGCCGAATCGAGACGCGTCATACGACTGCCGCCATTGTTTTCAGTTAGGAAACGGACGGACCATGCCGCCGCCGCCGCCGACGACGACGACGATCAACACATATATATACGGCCAGCAGTGTTACCACCCGTCGTCGGCGACCGTACGCCAAAGTTTATTACCGTACACCCGTACGGGTTGATGATAATATAAATCCGCACTCGCTGCAATATTATGTGATCTTGATGCGTGATTGTTAAATAATAATGTATACTAATGAATTTTATTGTATCATGGCATTCAAGACGATACGATAAAACCCGAAAGATAATCGTCACCGTGTCCGCTGCGAACGCTCTGACGTTAAAAAAAAACCCGCACGCGATATTCGAACGGCAAACGATGTCGGTAATTTTTCGTCGCCGTTTTTATCGTAGCTAGTGGCGGCCGATAACGTTCGGAATCTCTTGTCGGCGGCGGTGGTGCGGTGGTGGCGCTGGTGAATGGTGGTGGTAGCGGTGGTGTCTGTCGTGTATACGACGGCACTACGGCGGCGGCGGCGACGACGGGCAACCGGAAATTTCACCAAGTTCACCGCCACCGCCGCCACCGCCACCGAACGGTCCCAAGTCGATCGTGCGCGCGGTGCAAACGCTAACACACACACACACACCGGTGTCGACGATGGTCGTTGGTGGGTAGGACGAATCATCGGTGGCGAAGGGGAAAACGGTTTTCGACGTTCCGCAGTGGAATATAATAATAACATAAAATAAAATAATATTACAGGAAAGTAAAAAAAAAAAACCGATCTGGTTTCGCGTTTTTGTACGTAACACTGTATGCGCGTCATCGAACCTCCCAATGATAGGTCTCAAAAATTATATTTATTTTATCGTTAGGTACCTACATAAGATATAAAATTATAACGTTAAAAAGATATCAAACGTTATTTCGATATCGTTTTTTTACTGTTGTATAAGTAATATTTTGGTTTTTTTATACGTGTAGGTGATGATTTTGCGTTACGTCACTGCCGGCTGGTCACTTCCTTCGCAGTTCGCTGAAATCACTGTTTGTGTAGATATAATATTAATTTTTCCTAAATAGGACGTTGAACGTTTTTAATTTTCCATTATTTTCATGCATACGATGGAACATTAATTATTCGTAATTCCCTGCATCGAAGCAAAAGTATGCACACGGCGTCTCGGTAACCCTTTCAAAGCGATGGGGATTCTGATACACTCAAAACCCAACGAAACGAATATTAAGTTATTTTCCAGATTTTGAATCCTGAACTAATGGATTTATGGTTTATTGTGTATACTATTACTATGTAAGTTAGGTACTTCTTTAGGTGACATTGGATTACCGACGATTGACTAATACTTAACTTTTTCAAATTGTACACATAATAACTGTTATTATTCACAAATTTAAACTTTAAACATTTAAGAAGTAAATTTGGACGTTTCTCGATGTTTCCATCAGGTCTATTTATAATTTGGCATCGAACAAAATTGAGTTATATCATTTTTTTTTTTTTTAATGTTCTTAAACAAAACTAAGGACAAGGCCGTATTATGTAGGTACACAACCTTGGACTTAAAAAATATCATACATTTTTTTATAATAAAATGCAAATTTATGAACACTATTTTTGCAGTAAAATTGACTAAAAAATTGTATTCCATGTCGTAAATGGTATACATTTTTCGGAAACCCCAATAGTACGATTATATAACTTTAAAATAATTTAATAATGTCTGTTAAAGTAGTAAAACAATTTATTAAACTTCATCAACACACTTATTTATTCGAAATAAGTAATAAACGTGCACCGTTTGCATTTATTCTAGACTAAAAAGAAAATGTTATCCACATTTCAAAATTTGACGAAGAAACATTACATAATTTATGTAGATAATATTGTAATAATATTTAAATGATTACATGATTTTTTTTAAACTCCAACTAATAAATAAAAAATTGTGAAAATGACAATATATTGCAACAGAAAGAAATATATCGAATAGGGTGATCCTACTTACTTCATATTCACCGTGTTATACTGTTATTCAATATGAAAAGCTGCAGGAAGCAAGCAAGCTACGACGAATATTCAAATACTTTAAAGGGGTTGAATATGAATCCCAAACATTTTGCGAAATGTATTGCTTCTTGATTAAGAAAGAGTAAATACACGAAATTTTAAAGATTCAAACTTCATGCTTAATATTAAGCTCAATAATCAAGAAATACATTAAAACAGTTCTAAGAGCCCATGAAATACCTATTGTGAACAATTCTGTAATTTAGATTTAAGGAAGTAATAAGACATTAGATATTATGTAAAATAATAAGGCATAAGGATATTATACTATTTAATAGCAAGTCTTATAGTGCAAAGCAATATAATAATATAGGTACCCAATAATTTTTATAATAATATTTTTTTTTCAAGTGATATTTCATTAGAAAATTATAATTTAACTTCAACAGCTAAACATTAGCTGAACGAGTGAACGACTTATCCACATGTAGGTACTCGTATAATTTAATACTGAAAACTGCAAACAAAATCCAAAAATTATAGTCATGATTAAATTCACGATAAGATACATACATTTTACTTACCTACTATATTTATTGTCTATTAATTTTGTAAACTGAAAAAGCATTGATGCTGTATACATTGAGGTTTTATTAATTAATTATTATTCTTAATTAGTTCAAAATAGTACAGCTCAACAAATATTTAATTAACGTTATTAATTATTATAATTTAATTATGTTCGTACATTTGTTAAATATTTATAAATTAAAAATAACAAGTTAATATCACTAATATCAGCAAAAAATTAATTAACCTTGGGTCATAACAAAAATTCCAAGTAAATTTTTGTATAATTAAAAAACTATATTCATGTTGGTCACCTATATATAACTTGTAAGTTATAAAAAATACAATATCTACCTATGTTTATTGTTCTTACTTAAAAATGAAATAATGTTATATTCAAACATTATATTTATTACTTATCTTTACAAGTTCTTTTATATACATCTTAACATTTAATAATAGAAAATAAACTTCAATTATAACCTTATATAATTAATTAAAGGTTCTTGGAAACATGCAAAGACCTAAATCGAAAATAAATCTGAAATTTCTCAGCCATAATTATTGTAATTATAATTGTTATAATAATTAAAATCCAATACAATTTATAAATTACTAAACAACTTATAATACTAAACTAAAATATAAAAATAATACAAAATAAAATAAGAACTATTTATGTATTCCCTGCATACTAGCATACTGCATAATATAAGTATAGGCAATAGGTATAGTCTTGGGTACAGAAATACTGGGTAAATATTAGGAACTAGTTTCTCAACGTCTCGTCGTTAATTTAAAATGTAAAAATAAAGTCAAGCACAGAAGTTAAAAATTGTTTAAATTTCATAGATTTAAAAAAACTTTAATTCTTGACTATAAGTTCATATATATAGTTCGTTCATAATAATAATATTACGTTCCTTATTTAAAATATTTACTTTAGTATATGTTATAAGAGTAATTAATTGTATTAAAACTTAAAAGCTAAGTTAACTGTTTATTGTTTTATTTTTTTTACTAAACATATAGCATAAATTGTAATGAAACGTAAGCAGAGCAGTTTTTAATTCACTTAAGATTTGCTAATAATTGGTTGTTTATTAATATATTATTACGTTGATAAGTAATATGATTAAGAAGATTTAAGTCCTCATATAAAACATAATCAAACCATTCAAACCCCTTTTAAAAAACATTTATGTATTATGATATGTATGCTTAAAATATTAAAGCTATATGTTAATACTGGGTTCGGGACTTTCTGCACAAAAATTATTAAAATATACAATCAAAATTACCAAAGTATACTTGAAAATATGAAAAGATTTTTTTTTTATTTGAAAAAATCCCATAGTACTTATAAAAATGTTCAATAATCTATAATTGATAAATTAATAATTGACTTGCTTAACCTAATCTAACTCAGACATGTATCGATTAATACGACTATTATTTGTTATTTTAGGCAAAAATAAACAATCAACCAACATAGTTTAAAAAAAAATATTTTTAATGGGTTTGTCACGCATCATGCACCGGACTCGGATACGAAATAACGATCGCCGCGTTGCACAGACAAGTATGGGCACTGATTTTTATGTCTTCGTATAATAAATAACTATATAAGTCATGTAGGTATAGAGTTTGAAACTATATTTCTAAGCATACCTATACAAAGGTCGATTATATCTCCTAGCATCTGGGTACTTCACCGACTGCCGATGACTGATGCTGCATCACATATTCATATGCCAGATCAGGCTTCTAACAGACGGTAGAAGACGTACTCAAACACAAGGATTAGGACGACAGGATCTGGGGCAGAGCAGCACTCAGGACCAACTTACTTACCAACGCTACGAGATTCTAGAACGACAGACTACGTAAATAACTAGGCTAGGAAATGGGATCAATCCTATCTATAATTTTTAATTGTACATTTATACTTCAGTCGTGGAAATGACGAATCTACTCATACTGCAGTAATGTACGATGCCAGTGGCGTAGCCAGGATTTTTTTCGGGGGGGGGGGGGGGCTGATCAATTTTGTACACAGTGGTTGTTTAGTTTTTGATCGAATACCATGGACTATTAAATAATTTTTAAATTTTATTAACATTTCGGGGGCAGCCCCCTCAGCCTCCTCACTGGCTACGCCACTGTACGATACACATATAAGGTTGTCACCTAAGAAAAGCAGATTTGTTATCATAGTGTTATCATACTTTCATACTGATCACCATTGGGCATTGAGTGCCCATACACTGTTCTTAAAATTTGTAATTCAATAAACGATATGGCATAAATAGCAATATAGCATGGTAATAACCACTAAGAGGAGGACGCCACATCCGCATTTGTTGTTTCCGTCTTACAAGTGCGTAACATACCAAATTTACGCTCAGCAGTACAACTCGTTACTTAAAAAATTAGAG